GTGACCTAGGACAAGCTGATGGCATAAAATGTAAGTACAACTCCTCCGGTTTCATATGCAAAAAAAATTATTGCGCTAGCTTACGTGGTTGCAGTGCTACCGGGATTTAAAAATAGTTACGCAAAACAGAGCGTGCCCGCTCTGACCGGCTTTAAAGGGTTAATTCATCTAGTTTGGATGCCATGTTTATAATCCAATCTTTTTATTGATCTTTTTATAGCTTCACTTTGTAATATATCCTGTGGTCAAAGCATTATTCTGAGATTTCATACCTGACAGGTCTCCCGTGGCAGAGGAGGCACCTAAGAAGTAGCCTGTAGGTAGCCGCACTCCTGTAATGTCAGCACATTCTCTCCATTCCTGCTTACCATCAACATCCACCATGAGCTAAGGGCAGAGGAACAAATGGTTTGAATAAACCAATCAACATTCTACTTTTCATGCCTCATTGTACTACTCAGTTTTAATTTCATTACACAAGAATGTCACCTTTAAGGACAAGTGACACCCTGAAACCGGTCCTGCAGATAATGAGCCATACCGTCAGTTGATTTTTGGAGTATCTAACGAGGAAAAAGTTGTCGTAGACCGAGTTGCGTGCCATAGCTGTGCATCCTCCAAGCTCTGTGGACCGACCGTCACGATCGTGGTCATACGACAGGGTGCCATTCCCCAGCATCACAGATATGTAAGGGAATGTCCTCTGTGAAGAAGACAGAGGAGTCACAACTTCATCAGCAGGAACCACAAACACCATTCCACAGGTAGTTAATTTCACAGAGACATGAAACAGCACTACTGAACAGTTTGATGTTATATTGCATAAAGCTTTTCTTAGTAAGGGGGGGGACAAAAACACTGGACACTGGTTAGCCAGAGAAAATTAACTCTAAAATCTGAGCTGTTCACTGTTGTAAGTTGAAATAGTCCAATCCAATTTTATTTATAAAGCACTTTAAAATACCCAGCACAGGAACAAAGTGCTATACAGAAAACAAGTTAAAACAATAGAATAACAGAAAACAGCAAAAATAAATAAATAAAACACATAATACATAAATTAAAACAGCCCTATATTAAAACAAAAACAAGATAAAACAGCATCGAATCACCTAAAAACAACTGAAATAAAAATAAAAACCAACATCTCACGTGGTGTCAAAGGCCAGGGTAAAGAGGTGGGTTTTCAAGAGTGACTTAAAAACAGATAAAGAACTGGCCTGTCTAATCTCTAAAGGAAGCTCGTTCCACAGTTTTGGAGCTGCTACAGCAAAAGCACGATCTCCTCTAAGTTTATGCCCAGTCCTGGGTACAATCAGGAGCAGCTCATCAGCTGACCTGAGAGAGCGGGTGGGTGTATAAGGCTGTAGCAGCTCAGAGAGATAAGATGGGGCTAGGCCACGGAGAGCTTTAAAAGCAAATAAAAGAATTTTAAAATGAATCCTAAAAGAAATGGGCAGCCAGTGAAGTGAAGCTAAAATAGGGGAAATGTGCTCAAACTTTCGAGTGCCAGTTAAAAGACGAGCTGCGGCATTTTGCACCCCCTGTAGATGACTAATATATGATGCACTGACCCCAATATAAAGTGCATTACAGTAATCCAGTCGAGTCAGCCTGAAAACTGCAGTTCTACTGCTGCTTCACCTTAAAACATTAGCACTACCAGGGTATGAGCATTCTGATGATTAATGTTAATAATTCAAACTTCACCAGGACTGCTGCTTGTCTTTTTTCTGGCCAGGTTCGTTGTCAGTCAGTATAAGTTTACATTATTAGCAACAGTACATGTTTGCATGTCAGATTGGCTGAAATTCAGTCATCAAAAAGAAACATTGTGTGTATGTTGTGTGGGTTTCCACATGACAACAAAGTCTTGATTTAAACTCAGGCTTTTAAAAAAAACAACAAAAGCTACAGACTGTCACTTACATCATGGGTCTTATCATCATTGGGGTAAGTGTCCACAAATATTCCAAGTCCAGAGAAATGGTTCATGTTGCCAAATACAGGGCCTGCAAACAGAGGAATACCACAGAGATAATAAAGCTGAAACATAGCAATTAATATAATTTGATTTGGGACTAAATTTCAGTCTTAAGTTTTCTCCAACAGAGTTTCTTTGTGTTTTCAGCACTTTGGAGGAAAAAATGTAATCAGACAAACTAGTACATGCAGGAAGTTAATTTAAAAAAAAAAAAAAAAAAAAATTTTTTTCACGTGAAACGATTGTATTACCCTAATCCCACCCAAATGCTCTAAAGCTCACTATCATATCATTGGGGGTGTGGCAACTAGTCCACACACATCGTGATAAAGAGTCACTCGATGATGACAGCTGTCTTTACATGTAGACAGAAACATTTGTACCACAAACTGTGGAAGAATAACTCCATTTGGAATTTTCCTTTAAAAACTAAGACCAGCGCAGCATAGGTTGTCTTTATTTAAATACAGTAGCAACAAAAATGTAACAAACTTAAAAGCATAAAAAAATGGATGATAATGACTGAATAATTCTCTTTAGCCAGGCGCACAACACACTGCTTAAAAAATTTAATTAAAGGAACACTTAGAAAACACATCAGTTCTCAATGAGGAAAAAAGTTGGATAGCTACACTGACATGGACTGGGTAATGTGATAGAAATGAAAAGCATCAACTTACAGAGGGCTTGATTAAAAAACACCTTGAAAATCAAAGTTTAAAAAAAAAAAAGATGCAGCAGGATAGCGCATTCTGTTGAGATTTCATTGCAGCAACTCAAAATGGTACTTTTCTGGCACCAAAATGCTGGTACACATGTGTGACAACATCAGGGGATGCTCCTAATGAGACAAGAGATTGTGTTCGGGGGATAGGATCTCATCCTAGATCTGGACCAGGGCATAACTGAGGAGGAACCAAGGATCCACTGCACCAGTCTGACAATAGGTCCAAGGATGTTTTGGCACAAAACACAAGTTTTTGGTCTCCACCTGTAAAGCCATTCTTGTTTTGTCTCAGTGATGAGAGAATGAGAGGCACGGTACACCCTGGAAACGTTGCCAATCTGATGCAGGGCTAACACAGAGAGACAGACAACGATTCACACTCACATTCACACCTATGGACAATTTAGAATCACCAGTTAACCTAACCCCACTAACTGCATGTCGACTGTGGGACAAAGTTGGAGTACCTAGAAAGAACCCATGCAAACTCGCACAAAAAGGACCCGGTTAGATGATGGGATTGAACCCAGGACCTTCTGGCTGTCAGGCAACAGTGCTAACCACTGCATTTGCCCGCTGTTAATTTCATTAACACCAAAACCTTTAACCTAACAAATAACCCCTCTGCTAACCAACCGGATCACTATCTCATTAGTTTAATTGGCTTAACGTTCTAAATCTAAAATTGTTTCTTTATTTTTTTGAGCAGTGTAATACTACAGGTAACTTACCTAATTGGATTAAAAACAAACAATAAAACAAAACAAACAAAAGAAAACTAACTAAAATGTGTTTTTGAAACAATGAATGAACATGTAAAGTTTTGTAAGCAGTGTTTCCTGCAGCTGAAAATTGAGACTGTTTATTCTCTTTGCTTTCCCTGGTATCACAAGTCACTGTGCACAGGATGTGCTAATAAAATGATATCTTATCATGTGACTGAGAAAAAAAATGACAAGCTCATTAGGATAAACTGTTCACTTTGAGGGCTATTCAATTATAAAATTGCAAATACGATGCTGAAACACATTTAGCATTAACCTACCATTTTTCATGCGATCTCTGGTTAACCAGATGGCCAGTCCATCACCATTCAGGTTCTTCTTCCCTTGGCCATGGACTTTAAATTGTACTCTCAGCTCCCAATCTTGCAGAAGCAAAGGCTGAAAAGCAATAGCAATAAAGAAAAGCAGGTTATTCTTACACTCAGCAATGTGTAGCATGCACTTGTCATCAGATATGAGTAACATATCATCCTTTTGAAACAGACTGATTTGTATCATTTATATTTTATTTATAAAATGCTGCATAACATTCATTGTTAAACCAAAGCCATATAAAGTAGGGTTTTTAGTTTAAAGCAGGAAGTGAGGGAAATTGTGGTTTGCTGGGTAAGAATGCATTGCATATTGCAAGCCTGATAATGCAGGCTGTCCCATTTGACTTACAATTCGGCTCCACACAGCTCCCTGCCTGCTCTGCAGGTCTGGGGTTAGCCTCACATGGTCAGGCGTCACCATGGCAGTGCCCATCAGATCCCACTGTGAGGAGCTAGAGAAACCCAAGCCTGCAAAACAACAGTAGTAACACTTCTGCATTCACAGCAAGCCACACCAAAGTTTACCATTGTTTTTCTTAGAAATCTTCTTTTACCATTTACGTTGCGTTTCGTCTTTTGTTGTAACATTCAGTTTATGTATACATTTTATTTACTACAAATATTTCCTTTTCAGTGGCTCCTGTACTGTACTGTTTATTTTTATTACTATAAATCATAGGTGTCAAACTCTGGCCCGCAGGCCAAATTTGTCCCGCAGCCTAATTACATTTGGCCCGCGAAGCCATACCAAATTACTATTAGAGCTGGCCTACTGGTATTATACAGCTAATATATATATTGTTTAGTATTAAGCTTTGCTTGTTCCATATTCAGTTTTTCAGCAAAACGTGTTTGAGTCCATAAGAAAAGATTCATTCTTATGAATATTTATTCCTCCTCACTCTTCTGGAGGAATAAATATATATTTCAATAAATATTAACGTTAGCCCGCGACTTTGTTCCAGTTTTGAATTTTGGCCCACTGTGTATTTGAGTTTGACACCCCTGCTATAAATCAAGGGTCTTTATTAGAGTATGACTTGAAAAGTTCAAAATAGGTATTAGAATACAATAGCCCTTTATTTTCATTGTACTTATATAACGATATTGTGGGTTCTTCACCTGACTGTTGTGCAAGAAATATAAATAACAAGACAGATAAAAAACACACTGTATTATATCACACGATAAAATGCCTGTGCAAAGTGGCAGGAGTGTATTGCAAAAGACTTTAATGAAGTGCAATAGTGGCCCAACAGTACAACAACCCTACTAAAGAAGCTTACTCACAGTTTCATTAAATACACTTATTACGTGTGGTCAACTTCAGTACACACAAAACTGCTTCAGTACGTTTAAAAAAAAAAAAAAAAAACTCCCTTATTATTGTTATGACTTTTTAGATTTAGTTTTAATTAACGAAAACTGTTTTGTTTTTTTTTTGTTTTTTTAAATCGTTCTTTGTTCTGATGTATTCTTTATAAGCCCGACCCCATTTTCTAGTTATCAGTTTTTGTTTCTAATTACTTTGAATTAACTAATATACGCTAATATGAAAAGTGGCCATGAAGGTTACTCAAACTGCTCTTTCTTGAGACAATGAAAAACGAATCTTGCATAATGGAGAGCGTTACGGGCTTAATTTCCTGAATTTTATTGTTGTTTTTTGCTAGAGTTCCTCACCGTAATCAGACAGGTATGCTCTGCTGATTAAAGCTAGCTGTAGGTAGGCTAGTCTTCATTAGCATTATGGACTAGCCAATAGTTAGTGGTGTGTTAACAACAGTTATTATCCCGCTTGCTGTAACGCTACCCACGATGTGTAACGACAGAGAGGCACAAAGTTCTTCTTAGTTAATTATTATCCTCCGCCACACAATTCTATCCAAGAAAAAAATGAATTTAAGCCAAAGCCTACCTTTCGGTGACAAACTGTCTTCTGTCTACTGTCAACGTTTATGTTAGTTGCTAATGTTAGCTGACATTGGCGGTAACGTAATTCTAGTTTAACATTAAACTCACCGCGGTACGGCTTCACAAGAGAATATTCCCGCTTCAGAAACTCCTCCATAAAGTCCCCCTCGTCTGCCAGCGACTGGCTCGTCAAGTAACAAATAGTAATAAGTAGCCATGTTAACTCACGGAGGTTCCTAAAGTGAAACACTGAATTTAAAAAACAGAAACTTCTCAGTGGAGCCAGATTTGATTTGGCAACCGAGGAAACCATCTTTACAGCCCGACTACACACATGTCACGTGGTTTCAAGAAAAATGTTCTTCTTCCCTTCTGGGGTTTAGTGGAGACACTCATCCGTGGGGTTGGCATTACTGCCATCTTCTGGATATAGTAGTAGCGTCTGAAAATCATCAAATTCTCCCCAATAGACTAGCTCTCGCGATTTTATAGCAGCATCTATCCGAAAAGAATGGGTTGTGAGATCTTTTTCTTCTTTGATCATCCTCGTCTGTCTCATCCTATCCCTTACAGTCTCTCCTGTCACACCAACCATCTGCATGCCCTCCTCTGTGGTCTTCCTTCATTTGTGGCAAGACAGATAAGGTGAGAAACATTATTTTAGTCTCTTAATCACACAGAGGCAGTCCACCAAATCATCAAGCGCTTAAAGTAGTATTATTCAATACAGAAACTAAAAAAAAATCACGCTGCCACTCCTGTACACCTGTACACAGAGCAAACTGTAATAGCATTGTTTTATTTATTTTTTTAAATATTTTTTTATATATTTATTTTGAATGCATCCTCATAACTCAACTAGAAACTAGAAAATAACAAAAACATAATCATATAAAAATTATTATAGGAGTAAGTGGGGGATCCACAGTCAACAACAGTACAGCATACTGCTTAGTTATGTGAAATCATCACCAATCAATGTGAGGAAAACACATTATTACAGTAAATGAAATACATAAAGTGATCCATGTCAGTTTACAGCAATATCCAAAATGAATACAGTGTGCTGCTGCACATAGACAGGTAAGATCATTTTCACTTGCTGTCACCTGAATCTGGAGCTGTACAGTAAACAAACACTGAAGCCCAATTCGATAATAATAACACACATCGTCTCCTTGGCTGGCAACTCCCGATATCCCAGCAGACTACTGGACCAGATGGCTAAAACTAGCTAATAATCTCTGATGATTTAAGCTTCATTAGCCAATGCTATTTAGAGAACAAATAAAAATAAGCAGACACTTTATAAGAATAAATATTACATTTGAAGATAATTCTAGAAAATAATACAAAAATGCGCTGTTATTGATACTATTAATAGTTATTTTTAAGGATGCTCTGATAAAATTTGGGGTCACTTGAGCACCCTCAAAAAGGGTCAAAACTCACCTATGTAGCTCCAACATCTTTTCTTCAATATATTTCTGTACATGCACAAACCATCTCACACTTGTTTCTCTAACTTTGTCTCCAAACCACTTAACCTCAGATGTCCTTCTGATGAGCTGATTTCTAATCTTCTCCCTCCTGGTCAGTCCTAGCAAAAATCTTCAAACAGTGTACCTGATAATGTTGCAGCTTATACTATTAAGGCGCTGTGGTGGATAGAGGGCTGCTGTTGTATTTAACAGTTTTTCAACATTAGAAAGCATGACTTGATGTTAAATAGGTACCACATTATGTCTAAAATATTTTCTTTTTCTAGACTACTACTCTTTACAGGGTTGTTTCAGTTCATTAAGGCTTGAGGACATTTGTTTATGTGCCACATTATTTCAACTAGGTAGAGGTCTGGATTTGGCTGGGCCATAATAGCACCTTTTTTCTTTTTCAGCCATGGTGTAGAACGGCTGTTTCTCTGTTTGTCTGTTTGGGATTATTTTCCTGTCCTAATTTCAGCTGTCTTCAGCTGCCTGACAGATGGCTTGACTTTTGAATCTAGGATATTTTACTATACCTAGAACTCATGAGAAAGAGCAATTTCAGTTAAATTCAATTTTATTTGTATAGTGCCAAATTCTAACAACAGTCCCCTCAAGGCGCTTTATATTGTAAGGTAGACCCTACATAATACATACAGAGAAAAACACAACAATCATATGACCCCCTATGAGCAAGCACTTTGGCGACAGTGGGAAGGAAAAACTCCCTTTTAACAGGAAGAAACCTCCGGGGCCAGCTGCTGCGACCGGTTGGGGTGAGAGAAGGAAAACAGGATAAAGACATGCTGTGGAAGAGAGACAGAGATTAATAACAGGTATGATTCAACGCAGAGAAGGTCTATAAATCATTGGTTATCATTTGGTTTTCCTCACACACAGGATTGCATTAAACAATCTGGTTAAAAAGTCCACTGGCCTTGCTCAAAGACATTTCCACACCTCCACAGGTATGTCATCTGGGCCAGCCGTCTTTCCATTTTTCATCCTTTTCATGGATTCAGTTCCTCACTAAACCTCTATACATTTCACTAACTGTCCTCCATCTGTCCTCTTCTCGCTTTCATTTTCGTCCTCTATCAGCTCATAGAAGATTCTGGATTTCAGTGAGACCCAATGAAGAGAAGCCAACATCAGAGAAATATGCCCTCTCTTTCTGCTTCCTGTCAGAATTATAATGAACAAATTCTATAACATTATCAGTAAGTTTAAATAAAATTTGATATGCTTCTCCTTAAATATAAAAATATAGAATAGAATAGAATAGAATAGAATAGAATAGAATAGAATAGAATATCTAAATAACCTATATAAGTATATAATACAAATGGGAGGAGAGGAGGGCGGTTACTTTCTAATCAAAAACTGTTAAAATGTTTAGTCGACTCAAGTCAGAAGGAAGCTGCTAGACCTGACAATGAAAGAAGTGAAAGAGAGAGAAGTCTCCAGGCTGGAAAACGTGACAAAATCTCTGCAGAATCAAGGAAGACAGGTTTCTCACAACTAACTGGAAATTCATGAAATACTGGTCACACGACAATGCCTGTGTGAATCCATGACTGCAGTCTCAGACCTGAATTATTAGAAATGGTACAAATCAAAATTTAAAAAACCACAATGTTTACTAAAATAAACAAACACACACACACTTAGAGTCTGCTCTCTTAATACCCAAGATAAATGATGACCCACATCTAGCTGCATGTGTGAGCCTGAGTGTGTGTGTGTGTGTGTGTGTGGGTGGGGGGGGGGGTATAGTTCCCCATAATCTCTGGTGGGAGGTTCTGAGTCAATTGGTAGCAGACAGCGCCATCATCTGGTAATAAAGTTCATCCTCATGCTGAATCCACAAAGGACACAAAGGAAGGAGATAACACATTTGAAGTTGGATTTATTAACACTTGGACAAGCAGTGAATGTGATCAGTGTTTAATGTGAAAGAAGAGCACATGGGTTTCTAGTGTATCGACCAACACTACATAGCAACTGCATCCTGAGTGGGATGTATATGAATGTCCATTAATGCCAGTAAGAAGTAACAGTGGTGAGGATTTTGTCATTTATAGTTCTAATGATGATTTCACCCTTTAAGACCTACCATAGAACCAAGTCCGCCAGAGCTTACTTTATATTTTTACATGCTGTAGTGCCATTTTTGGGAGCATTTCAAGTTGCTATACATCAATACAACTGTTATAGCCCATATTTTAATAATATGTATGCATTAAGTCCATAGTAACTACATTAATTGCAAAAAAGTGCAATAAACTACAAAAAAATTGAAAATCGTTTTTGGTTTTTTACATATATTTCTACTTGGAGAAATTTAAGAGGCTTATCCCTCAAAACTTTAAATACAAAAAGTTGCAAAAAATAGTTTACAACAACAGGAAATTTATTTTGAGTGTCTTCATAGTTTTATTTTTGAGATACACCAATTTTTATATACTACAGGAAAACAATCCTATGATGCAAATTTGCAAAGAAAACACCATGTGCATCAAAATAAACTATTTCCAGCAGTGCAATTCGAGTTCTCAGCATCCCAGCAACTATTCAGAAAAGCATAAAGTCAGACATGACTTATAAAAACACCAGTATAGGCTCTTAAGGCCTACAAGTAAAAAACTAAATTTTCCGCGAAAATGACGTCACTTCCGGTTTCGGGCAGGAAATGGTGGACATGCGATCGTTCGCGCTGACATCTGTTTCAATGTGGGAAGTGTTACGAACAGCTGATCAGATTGGCAAAGCGTGTTTCTGGAATATTGTGTTTTTGTTGCTGCAAGCTCTTTTTTATGCAATTTTTGCAAAGCTTTATGTGGAAGGAAACCGTGACCGAGGACAAGCTGATGGCATAAGATGTAAGTACAACTCCTCCGGTTTCATATGCAAAAAAAATTATTGCGCTAGCTTACGCGGTTGCAGTGCTACTGGGATTTAAAAATAGTTATGCAAAAAAGAGCGTGCCCGCTCCGACTGGCTTCAAAGGGTTAACAGACTCCCATCAAGTCAGTTTTGTTATTAATAAAATCAAAATTATATATTAAAAATGATTTTGTTTTTTTAAACGAATTTTTTAATTTATCTCGAGTTTCACCTTTTAGGTCAAACATTTAACTTTAATATTGTCCAAAATTTAGATTTCTTTTAATTAACAATATTTTTTATCATTCTGTTTTTTCCAATTCAGCCCAAAACATAATTCGGACATTATGCATCTAATGTTTAGAGTCTTAATTTTCTTTTGTTGTAACACAAGTTTGAACTTTAATGCTTGTATTTTAAAGACAATTTTTTGACATCAGCAACATTTATTTCCCTTTATTGTCATGGTCCTGGGTCGCTGACCCAGTGTTTTGAGTTTATTATTATTATTTTCTAGTTTCTTCTGTTTTTGTATTAATTCTTAAGGTTTGGGTTTTGTGTTTAGTGTTTCTGTTATCCCTACCTGTGTCCTCTCCCGGTGTTCTGTTCGTGTCTGAGTTTGTGTTTGGAAAACAGTCTGTGAATTTCCTGTTTTACTTTGAAGGTCTGTGTCTCGTGATGGCCATTAGTTCCAGCTGTGTTCCCCTCTGGTGTGTCATTCCCTCATTGCCTTGTGTGTATTTATAGGGTGTCCTGCCTGTGTTCCTCGTCAGTTCGTCTGTGTTATTTTGTGTTTCTCTGTGTCTCTCTGCTCCTCGCCTCGTGTCCTCCCTTTGTGTTATGTTTCAGGTCAGCTTACTAGCTTTCCCAGTTCAGTTTACTTTGTAATTTTTTATCACTGCTTTGTGTCACTGTCACCCGTCATCAATAAACCTCACTCGCATCACTGCTGTTGTCTGCAACTTGGGTCCTTCCTCTCCAAACACCACACAACTGCTGCCCCAGCAGTGACATTTATTGTACCTAAATTTTCTTTTTCTCTTCATCTATTTATTTATTTTTTATTTTACTAGCTATAA